ATCAATAATGTTTTATGTGTTGCTACAAAAAATTATATCATTTTCAGGTGCATGAATTGGAATTTGCTGAGATTGAGAAGAGGGTCATTGAGGGTTTGAAGAATGGTAATGAAGCCCTGAAACAAATGAATATGGTAAATTAATGTTCTGTCGTTATTAAATTAAAAGAATACTGATCAGTTATTATATATGACCTATTCAATGGGTTCAACTTTAATAGTAGATTGAATTTAATGACGAATAATCGACATGAATGAAAAACCTCATAGAAGCAAACGATTCTAAATAATCAAATGACATTTATGCAAATGTCTTAAGTAGACTGGTACAGAGATGAAGTTTATATTTGTTTGAAAGTTTGATGAACTTGTAAAAAGCTGGAGTATTGTTGTATTTTGGTTAATAAGATATTAGCTGGACGGATCGTGAGATATTACTGAATAATGTTATATCCAAACACAATTTTCCGTTTGGTGTATGCAGGAAGGTGATGGTATAAATGATAAATTCAATTCAGATGCTGTCGGCTGAAGATGTTGAAAAGATTTTGGAAGAAACGCAAGAGGCTGCTGAATATCAACAGGTAGGCGAATGACAGACGGAGTCAATTGATTACTCGAGGTGTTCGTTCATTCAACGTAACAATATTTGAGGAGATCACCAATTTGCTGAGTGGTAAGCTGAGTGAGAATGATTTGGAAGAGGTTGAACTGGAGCTCGAATCGATTATTGAGCAAGAATTATCGAAGGAACTAGATCATCTCCCTGAGGTGCCTTCTGAAGAACCCGTTGCTGCTGACGATAAGGAACAACTGAAAGGTTGGTTCAGTTGTCGTTTTTTTGTCTGTTTATTATCGTTAATATTCGTAATTGAGATGATGCTGTTGCAAACAATAAACAACAGAAAATGCGGAGCGATCGTGCCGAAAAAGTTATGGTCGAGGCGAGTTAACGCTGTGATTGGCTGAGTTGATGATTTGTACTTATTGCTGTAAGTTATATCCATTGAATATGAGATAGCCTCAAACGGAAGGCGCATATAGTAGATTATTTGCATAGACACACGTAGATTTTATTGATTTGGTGGAATTAATACCTCACAGATGAATAACACACATTTGATTGTGGTGGTGGTGGATTGTATCGTGATAGAATATTATCATCTCAACTCTGCTTCTTTGATTAGCTCCTGAATTTGAGCACGGTTATGCAAAGGCTGACATAAACGGTAAAGATTAGCATTACAATATTTGAGACCGTAACTGTTTTGTACAATGCAGTTCTTTCGGATGGAACTGTTCAAATAAAAGAGTGATCCTATTCTCCTTATTAGACGGGAAAATGCTCACTGGAAACTGATGACTACATGATTTTTGTCGTGAAATTTAGTCGTATATTTGAGTTTTTGAGNATGCAAAGGCTGACATAAACGGTAAAGATTAGCATTACGATATTTGAGATCGTAACTGTTTTGTACAATGCAGTTCTTTCGGATGGAACTGTTCTAATAAAAGAGTGATGCTGTTCTCCTTATTAGACGGGAAAATGCTCACTGGAAACTGATGACTACATAATTTTTGTCGTGAAATTTAGTCGTATATTTGAGTTTTTGAGGTTGACTTGGTAAGTGCAATTCAGGAAGTGATAATGCGTGTTGTAGAGATGAATATTTGCTTGTGGAACGAATCGGTAATTTTTTTTTGGTAAATTTTAGTATTTGGTGATGGGAATTAGAAAATATTGTTCATTATTAATGCTGTTTTGTGTCTGATCCGATGATGAATATTGTGCTAATCGTAAGTAAAATTATTGAACTGTGATCTATTTGTAACATAATGTAAAGTTATTTTTTCGTTAATTTCATTGAGGAATAAATTTTGATTAATCTTATTCGACTTCTTGTTCATCATTGAGATAAATTGTTTCAATCAATCAGAATTTAATTTATCATTCAGTCAGCGAAGTCGTTCATCTTCAGTTTAACTGAATATTATGCATGGTTAATTGAGTTGGTGATTAGATAATGTGTTTATTTCATTACGAATTTGAGCATAAAATCAACATCAACTTTTCTTCAGTTTCACTTCAATAAACTTTAAATCGACGAGAAATTACATAACTTTGTGAGTGTTTTATTTAATGTCTATTTAATGTAAAAGCTGTTAAAGATTAGAATGTTGCATGATGTTCTCGTGATTTTTTCATTGCACCATATTTCAAACTGCTACATTCGAAACAGTGACTGAAACTGCAAACATTTTCACAACCGAAATTCGGTCAATTATCATCGTTGTACATTGTTGTGCCGTACTTCTCTGGGTGTAAGCAAAAATGTGATGAGGCTTGCCTCAGAAATGGTTAAGAGTTATATACTCCACACTATGCTTCAGAGTGGTGCATGAGTTCTCGTCATAGGCATTTACGATGATCGTGATGATTCCGAACTTACCCTTTGCGTATTTAATGCGGATTGTTTTACCTCTGCGCTAATAGAACACTAGTGATTGGATTAGTATATGATGCATGGTAAGCGAATGCTGTGATATGTTTTAGTTGAATTGAACTGAAGATGTCTGGGAAAGAGGTTGAACAGCTGATAAGAGAGAATGTGGTCTGGAGTAAACTACCCAACGAGGTGCGTATTGTTTTGGGCAATTCACAAAGAGAATACGACAAACTTGTATTGGAGTATTCAATTAAGAACCAGCTGAGGTACAAAGGAAATATCGGTCGGTTGTCTTATGTACTGTTCACTTATTTATGCACTTATCACTAACAATATGTTTGAATGTTGTTCAATTGTTCTGACAAATGAATAATGACAGTTGAATTGAAGTGCGACATGTGAAGAGGAATGAAGAGATGTACTACGATATCGTGCTGAAGTACAGCGAAACACACCTGATGTTGTATCCGTACCATCTGTCCGATATTGTCGTTCGTGAGCTGCGAGTGACACCGTTCAACTATTACATTAACATTATCAGTGTTAGTTTAGTGCATTTCACATTCATTTCATTCAGAGATAGAGTAATGAGAATGATTCAAGGGTTTGATGAATGCCGAGAAGAGCTATGATTCGTTGCCGAATTTCGCAGCAGCTGATGCTGTACGTCTGTTGGGCATCGGTCGGAATCAGTACATCGAGCTGATGAACCAAACACGATCCAATCGCAAGTTGTTCCGAAGAAGTCGATCGATAAGAGACTTATTGCCAGCCGCACCCATCGATATCCATATTGAACCGTGGTGGTTGGTCTGTCCTGGAAGTATTCTCGAGTCTGACGTTAAGGTTACTTATATCTTGTTGTCGCTTGTTAAGTTAAATTTCGGTTGGTGTTTTATGGTATTAATTATTCAGTTGTTGTCGAAAAACGAAAAAGACGTAGTGGATTTACTGCTCGATGAAGGGGCGCAGTTAGTTGGTATCCTTGATTCGTCTGTCGTCAAGAATCTTTACAATCGAGGTTTAACCTATTTTGATGTACCCGTTCACGATGACGACTTTATTTTTGGTATGTCTCTTAATGATATAACAAAGTTTATAATTC